GGGCGGGGGGGCACACCTTGGCACGGTGACTGATGAAGAGCACCGGGGGTGCTCACGTGGCCCTGCCTGGTGGGGGGGGGGGGTTGCTGGGCGTGGGAGGCTCCACAACCACAGACGCAGGGCGAGTCAGCAGAACGAGAAATCTCGGCAAGGAACGCGTCACCCACAGCGTGCCACGCCAGAAGTCGTTGCGGGAGAGGAGGCCATCGATGGATGCTGCCGCCCCCCCTTTGCTCACAGATTCACCGCGGGCGCGAAAAGTAGGCACGCGGAACTTCTTTCGCGCCGTACGTAGCCAACCGCGGTGCGGGGGAAGGACAACAACACTAAACAACAAGAGGCGGTTCAGAAAAGTACATGGAGGAGGAGGAAGACCGACAGGAACAGTCTCTCTCTCTGACGAAGCCATCTCGTCGTGACCAGCAGCAGCAGGAAGACCCTCGACATTGTCTAACAACAACAACATTGCTGCTGCTGCTGCCGCCATACACGAGAAGATAATTCCTCCTGCTTTTGAAGGGGGGCCGCACATACTGACAAGGCTGGTCCAGATGTCTTGTGACCCCCCCTCCGCCCCATTCAATTCTCGAAGGCTTAATATGTTTGCATGCCATTTGGGTGTGGAATGCAACGTGAGCGATCGCCGTCGTCATCAAATCTTTCAGGAAAACGCTTTCGAACATCTTTCGCTAGTTTCTGTACCTGGTTTGCGATCTTTCACGAAGCCCACAGGCTCGCTGTGATCCCTTCCTCAAGGAAACACCAACAACTACGGCATCAGCCATCCGAAACAAATCTAGATTGAATGGGTAAGGTTTTTTTTTTCTTCAAACATACACGAGGAGAGCAGAGGGGTAAATATGTTCGGAGCGAATTAATGTGGGTCACAAGACATCTGGACCGCCAAGTAAATTGAGTGTCCTTCAACTGAAATTATATATATTTTTTAAACTTGTTTGGTTTTATTTTACCAGGTAAGGCCCACTGAGCTGCCAGAAGCGACCTGGCTATCACAAATGATAGTCCAACGACATGGCTGATCCATAATACAGTTTTTTTTGGGTTAGATCGCGTAAATATATAAATGTTGTGTCGTTAAACCCGCCACCACCCGGCACAGCTAACTAGTAAGGGTTGTCACGTAAACAGAACGTGGCCAATTCGTCACTAGTGCAGCACGCCGATGTTGCAATCTGTGGATTTGCTCTCCAACACACCGGTGTGCTGTACTCGTAACTAATTTGCATGTTCTGTTTACGTGATAAAGCTTCCTAATTGGCTGGTGCCGGGTTTTAACGACGCATCTATACATTTTCGCGATCTCACCCAAAAAAAAAGCACCCTGTATTATGGGTCATATTGGTCGGAAAGCCCCCTACGTGTTCAACCCAAGTGGCTGATCTCATCGTATACAAATGCGCGGCAGGCAAATATTTTAAACCAGTGGTTCTTAACCTTTACTGCAGCCTGCAACCACCACCCCCCCCTCCCCTTTGGTTCTCAGAAAGGGCATCTCGCACCCCCAGGCGGGGGTGCGTGCACCCCAGGCGAAGAGCCACCGCTCGAAAACACGTGGCGACGTCCAATCTAAACGCGGAGGGAAAACCCGGAGGGAAAAATCCACGCGACCACGGAGAGAATGATACGCAGACTCCAAATACAGTAGGCGTCGGGGTCGGGTTCGAACCCACGGGGACCTCCTGCATACCAGGCGAGGTAGTTAACATCTCGCCACGTGTCCACACGGCCACAATCGCACTCTGGTGGCGTGCGTCTGTAAATCTGCGGCGTCATTCGCAGTGTGACTCGGCGCGCACTTTGTGGTCGGTGTCAACAGAAGGGGGACATCCGAATTGCGAGCACGGAGCTTACACACAACACACAACACTCAGCACTCTCACTCACTTTCCCATCACTTAAACTTCCACAGAGACCCACAAAACGACAAATACACCCCTCCGTATGGCCTTAACAGACTGCTGGGGCAAGTGCTGTTAGCGAGTAGCAGGACCTATTAAGGATGGCACGAGGGGGTGGGGTGGCCAGCACCACGCCCGGCCGCCTTTGTCTCCCCAGCGGCCATGTTTACACACCGATAAATAGTAAAGAAGTGATTTGCATCATGTGTCCACCACCGTGCGTTCAACTCTCAGCCCGTGCGTAAAGCGATGGCTAGCCAGGGCTTAAGGGAGGGGGGGGGAGGCTACATCTAGCAGTGGATAGTTCACAGCTCCGGATAATTAAGACGAACCGGTAACCGGAACGGGTAGTGAAGCCATAAAAAACTACAATTTCACCGGGTAATGCCCACTGAGCTTGACAACTCTCTTTCAGACACGATATAGCCACAAAGTATAGCCCAACTAAGAGGCTTTTCATCATCATGTGGAAATGTATAGCAGCCAAACTCTACAACGCGTGACGTCGATTCTGAATGCGGAGGACAACCCCGGAGGACCCGGAGACAAATCCACGCGACCACGGAGAGAGAGAGAGAGACGCAGACTCCAAATATACAGCAGACCTCCTGCACACCAGGCGAGGTAGTAAACATCTCCTAGCCCGGTGGCCCACCGCGCCCTCTCGCTACCCCGTCGCTCCGCGTGTACCCCGCGCGTGCGACGGTTCGCAGCCCACACCACCACCACGCCCCCACCCCCCTGGTTCCAACCGCAGCAGCAGTAGTAGCAACAGCAGCAACAGCAGCAGCAGTAGCAGCGGACAACCAAAGCTCGTCCAGAGTCGAGACGAAGCTCTCGCGAGTTCTAACTCGCGTCGCCCCGCGGCCGATCAGCCCGCTGCTGCTGCTATTGCTTCTGTAGATGCTGTTGGTGCTGTAGGTGCTGTAGGTGCTGTAGGTGTTGTAGGTGCTGGTGGTGCTGCTGCTGCTGCTATTGCTTCTGTAGGTGTTGTAGGTGCTGTAGGTGTTGTAGGTGCTGGTGGTGCTGTAGGTGTTGTAGGTGCTATTGCTTCTGTAGGTGCTGTAGGTGCTGTAGGTGTTGTAGGTGCTGGTGGTGCTGCTACTATTGCTTCTGTAGGTGTTGTAGGTGCTGTAGGTGTTGTAAGTGCTGTAGGTGCTGGTGGTGCTGGTGGTGCTGTAGGTGTTGTAGGTGCTGTAGGTGTTGTAGGTGCTGTAGGTGCTGGTGGTGCTGTAGGTGTTGTAGGTGCTGGTGGTGCTGTAGGTGCTGGTGGTGCTGTAGGTGTTGTAGGTGCTGTAGGTGATGTAGGTGCTATTGCTTCTGTAGGTGCTGCTGGTGCTGCAGGTGTTGTAGGTGCTGGTGGTGCTGCTACTGCTATTGCTTCTGTAGGTGCTGCTGGTGCTGCAGGTGTTGTAGGTGCTGTTGGTGCTGTAGGTGCTGTTGGTGCTGGTGGTCCTGGTGGTCCTGTAGATGCTGGTGGTGCTGGTGGTGCTGTAGGTGCTGTTGGTGCTGTAGGTGCTGCAGGTGTTGCAGGTGCTGCTGGTGCTGTAGGTGCTGGTGGTGCTGTAGGTGCTGGTGGTGCTGTATGTGCTGGTGGTGCTGTAGGTGCTGGTGGTGCTGTAGGTGCTGGTGGTGCTGTAGGTGCTGTAGGTGCTGGTGGTGCTGTAGGTGCTGTAGGTGCTGGTGGTGTGCAGAAGGGGGAGCGGTGGTGCAGCGATTCGCGCGCTGCGCTACGAACCCGGCCCCGGCCGAGTTCGATTCCCGCTCACGACGACCAGTGACGATTATCTTAGCCGGTACTGCACCTCCCCTAGGTCGACTCGGCCTCAAATGAGTACCTGGTGCGGTGTGTAGTAAACATCGCCACTGGGGAGACAAAGGCGGCCGGCCGTGGTGCTGGCCACCCATCCCATTGTGTACCGTACTGGCCTTCACAGGTGCTACTCGCTAACAGCACTTGCCCCTACAGTCTGTTACAAGCTACACGGGGGATCTTTGTCTTTGTGGAGCAGAGGCATAACCAGGGCGTGCAGCACACCCATGCCCGACACCTACGTGTATATGTTCAACTTCTTTGGCACCCTACGTAGCCAATCGTGCTGATCGGAGGTGCGGTGCTGGTTGTTGGTGGTCATCAACTTAACACGTGTTGCTCTCTTCCAGAAGCGACCTGGCCGCAAATGAGAGCTCAACCAAGTTGGCTTCTCATCATCATCATGTGGAAATGTATAACACCCAAATCCTCTAAACGCGCGGTTTTTTTTTTTAATGTGGAGGGGAAAACCGGAGGACCCCGAGAAAAATCCACGCGACCACGGGGAGAGAGAGAGAGAGAGACGCAAACTCCAAATATATATACAAATATAGATACAGCAGCAGCAGGCGTCAGGGTCGGGATCCAACCCACGACCCTCCTGTGTACCAGGCGAGGTAGTCAACATCTCCTAGCCACCGTGATGATGATGATGGGAGAGAGAGAGAGAGACACGCAAACTCCAAATCTACAGCAGCAGCAGCAGGCGTCGTCAGGGTCGGGATCTTCCCCCCACGACCCTCCTGCGTACCGGGCGAGGTAGTCAACATCTCCTAGCCACCGTGATGATGATGATGGGAGAGAGAGAGAGAGAGAGACACGCAAACTCCAAATCTACAGCAGCAGCAGCAGCAGGCGTCGTCAGGGTCGGGATCTTCCCCCCACGACCCTCCTGCGTACCGGGCGAGGTAGTCAACATCTCCGAGCCACCGTGATGATGAAGATGGGAGAGAGAGAGAGAGAGACACGCAAACTCCAAATCTACAGCAGCAGCAGCAGCAGGCGTCGTCAGGGTCGGGATCTTCCCCCCACGACCCTCCTGCGTACCGGGCGAGGTAGTCAACATCTCCTAGCCACCGTGATGATGATGATGGGAGAGAGAGAGAGAGAGACACGCAAACTCCAAATCTACAGCAGCAGCAGCAGCAGGCGTCGTCAGGGTCGGGATCTTCCCCCCACGACCCTCCTGCGTACCGGGCGAGGTAGTCAACATCTCCGAGCCACCGCGTTGGGGTGCTCGACCCCGCGCACATCCCCGACAAACTCACCTCCAGCTCCTCCACCTGCTGCGGCTCCTCGTCGTCGTCCTCGGCAAGCTCCCCGATGCAGTACTGCTCGAGCCAGCGATACGCGTTCTGGCTGTGCTTGTGGGGCGCGCCGCGCATCGCCCGCCCCACGTCGGCGCCGGCCCGTCGCAGCAGCGCCGTCTCGCCGCCCGGGTGCATGCGCACGAAGCGGGTGACGTCGAACACGCGACCGTCTCGCACCACCCAGCACGAGTCGAGCGAGCGGTGGCTCCGAACCTCGCGGGCGCTCAGCTTTAGCATCGTGGGAGTTTAGAAAGGGTGGTGGTGGTGGTGGTGATGGTGGTGGTGGTGGTGGTGATGGTGGTGGTGGTGATGGTGAGGGTGGTGGTGGTGGTGAGGGTGGTGGTGGTGATGGTGGTGGTGGTGGTGATGGTGGTGGTGATGGTGGTGGTGGTGGTGATGGTGGTGGTGGTGGTGATGGTGGTGGTGATGGTGGTGGTGGTGATGGTGGTGGTGATGGTGGTGGTGGTGGTGGTGATGGTGGTGGTGGTGATGGTGGTGGTGGTGATGGTGGTGGTGGTGGTGATGGTGGTGGTGGTGATGGTGGTGGTGGTTTTTGCTGCTGCTGCTGCTCCTCGTGTGGTTGCCGCTGCTGCCGCTGCTGCTGCCGCTCGAGCGATGTGCAGACTCACACTTGTGCAGCACTGGGAGTGGCCGCGTGCCTCTTTGTGTCCCACTCTGCGCGGGCTGCCTCCGTGCCGCTGAGTCTGTCTGCCCGTCTGTCCCACCCCTCCTCGTGCCCGCGATTCGGCTCCTCTTGGAAGTTCACGACTCGCGGCTCGGCCGCGACAACTCGCCAAAGTATGACGCTCGTCGATTTCAAACCCACCACGAATCACTTCACGCGACAGATATTCGCGATTAGCCCTCAAAATACTTCGGTTGCTTTACGAGTCGCTAATGATGGGCTCAATTTACGTTTTAATTTACGGGGTTTTTTTTGCCTGTTATATGTATTGATTTAAATAAACGCGGTGATGAGCAGCAGCTAATGATGCTACAGTCCCCAGCTGCGGCTGCACGTGCGTAAGTGCGACTCCGTAATCCGTGGCGCGCTCAAACCACGAGGGGTTTTGTGAGTGGGAGGTTTCTGCGCGCGCGTCTCACTCCTCACGCCGCCCTGCGCGGCCATCAGCTCCACGAACGGGTTGGACCGCTCAGGTGAGCTCACCTGGCGCGTCACGCGATGACGCCGCCCTCCCCCCTCTCTCTCATCCCTCACAATCCTCAACCCCTCCCCTCTCATCCCTCACAATCCTCAACCCCTCCCCTCTCATCCCTCACAATCCTCACCCCCTCCCCTCTCATCCCTCACCCCCTCCCCTCTCATCCCTCACCCCCTCCCCTCTCATCCCTCACAATCCTCAACCCCTCCCCTCTCATCCCTCAACCCCTCCTCTCTCATCCCTCACCCCCTCCCCTCTCATCCCTCACAATCCTCAACCCCTCCCCTCTCATCCCTCACCCCCTCCCCTACACTCTCCGCCCCTCCCCTCTCATCCCTCACACTCCATCACGCCCGGCCAGGGACAGTCGCGCGCTCTTCCCCTGCCTCTCTCTCTCTCCTCCATTGCTGCTGCTTGGGGAGCGGTAGTGGTGGGCCTCCCCTAGGTCGACTCAGCCTCAAATGAGTAGCACCTGGTGTGTGTTGTGTAGTAAACATCGCCACTGGGGAGACAAAGGCGGCCGGGAGTGGTGCTGGACACCCACCCCCTCGTGTACCAAGAGCTGTTAGCGAGCGCCTTCATAGGCGCTCGCTAACAGCACTTGCCCCGACAGTCTGTTACACGCTTACACGGGGGATCTTTGTCTTTGCTCATTCCGCAAACTACGAAGAGCATCGCGCCAGGGATGTCCGACGCACCGAGCTCGCAGCCTCGTGAATGAGAGGGTGACGAGGACAGAGAACGATCCCAAACTCTACGGCGCGTTCCATGCGCCTCAGTGACGTCACCGCCTCGGGAGAAGAGCAAAGTGAGTAGTTCAGCGGGATCCTTGAATCCATCTGTGCGTAGGTTGGGGGGGGGGGTTTGGGGGGGGGGTTTGGGGGGGGGGAGGAGGTGGCGGTGAAACCGACCAATCGCGCGTGCGCCTGGGATCCGCACTGGAGCATTTCAAGTCGTGAGATGAGAGGAGTTTTGGATGAGGATCACCTTGCTGACACGACACGTCAGAGGAGTTTTGGATGAGGATCACCTTGCTGACACGACACGTCAGAGGAGTTTGGGATGAGGATCACCTTGCTGACACGACACGCGTCGTTGAGATGAGAGGAGTTTTGGATGAGGATCACCTTGCTGACATGATATGTGTCGCAGTCGTGGAGAATTTGCGCTCACCAGCACTGGGCGGTAACAACGCGAGCCTAAGAGCAAGAAGGACAACATGGGTTCGATTCCCAGTTCGTGTGCCCTGTGTCGTTGGCAGCCGGCGTGGACTCTCTCTCTCGCTCTCTCTCTCGCTGTCTCTCTCTCTCTCGCTGTCTCTCTCTCTCTCGCTGTCTCTCTCTCTCTCGCTGTCTCTCTCTCGCTGGCTCTCTCTCGCTGTCTCTCTCTCTGTCTCTCGCTGTCTCTCTCTGTCTCTGGCTGTCTCTCTCTCTCGTTGTCTCTCTCTCTCTCTCTCGTTGTCTCTCTCTCGTCTCTCTCGCTGTTTCTCTCTCGTTGTCTTTCTCTCGTTGTCTCTCTCTCTGTCTCTCGCTGTCTCTCGCTGTCTCTCGCTGTCTCTCGCTGTCTCTCGCTGTCTCTCTCTCTGTCTCTCTCTCTCGTTGTCTCTCTCGCTCTCTCGCTCGCTGTCTCGCTGTCTCGCTGGCTCTCTCTCTGTCTCTCGCTGTCTCTCTTTCGCTGTCTCGCTGTCTCTCTCTCTCGCTGTCTCGCTCGCTGTCTCTCTCTCTTTCTCGCTGTCTCGCTCGCTGTCTGTCTCTCTCGCTGTCTCTCTCCCTGCGGTGGTTTGGGGCGTGCGTGGATCGTTCTCCGGGTTCCACCGGTTTTTTCCCCTCCCCCCCCTCCCCTCCCCACCCCTTCCTCCAGATCCCCTCCCCTCCCTCCACATCCCTCCCTCCACATCCCCTCCCTCCCCACCCCCTACCCACCCCTCCCCTCCCTCCCGACCCCCTCCCCTCCCTCCCCACCCCCGGTTCCCTCCCCACCCCCTGTCAGCCACTTGGACGATGAGCTGCGTGTGGCCAGGTCGCCTCTCGACAAGGGCCCGTAGCTCAGTGGTCTTCACGTGATGCCACCTGTCCCGGGAAAATCGGGACAGGTGGCAGTAGTCGTAATAGCAGTGAGTGTGCCGAGTTTGTATCCTCTCCCCCTGTTCTGTGGTGGGTTACCTTCGGGCTCTCGATCCCCCCCCCGCCCCATAGCATCAAAACATAGAATTGTTGTTGGCTGAAACATCATCCCATTGCTGATGAATTACCTGCAAATCACTCAATTGGGATCCTACAGCAGCAGCAGCAGCAACATCGCCCCCTACTAGCGAAAACTAAAATGTCGCCACCGTGGCGATGAGATGTTAACTCCCTCGCCTGGTTTACAGGAGGTTGTGGGTTCAATCGCGACCCTGACGCCTGCTGCTGTAGATTTGGTATCTGCGTGTCTCTCTCCCCGTGGTGGCGTGGATTATCTTTTTTCCCCCCGGAGTATTTTGCTGCTCTAAATGTCCACGTGATAAGCCACTTTCGTTGAGCTATCATTTGTGAAAGGCAGGAGGCTTCTGTCCAAGAGCTACGTATCGTAGCTCAGGGAACCTTACCTGGTCAAGTGAAAGCAAAACAGAACAGGAGTCGTGAATTAAAATAGCCGAAAAAATTCAGTTTTTCAGTTCATTTATTAAATGACAATCGTGACAATAACCCAATGTTCCTCATCCATTTTCAGAGTCGCGGGGGGGGGGCACTTTCGCCGATAATACATCGTCAGTGTGAAGATGATGATGGGGGGGGGGGGTCTCATCATTTGTGTATTGTGGGGGCCGCACTAAAGGCCTCTGGTTCAGTCGTGATCATCAGTGGCCGATCCTCTGGTTCAGTCGTGATCATCAGTGGCCGTGGAAGATCCTCTGGATCAGTCGTGATCATCAGTGGCCGTGGTAGATCCTCTGGTTCAGTCGTGATCATCAGTGGCCGTGGAAGATCCTCTGGTTCAGTCGTGATCATCAGTGGCCGTGGTAGATCCTCTGGTTCAGTCCAAGTGGCCGTGGTAGATCCCCTGGTTCAGTCGTGATCATCAGTGGCCGTGGTAGATCCTCTGGTTCAGTCGTGATCATAAGTGGCCGTGGAAGATCCTCTGGATCAGTCGTGATCATCAGTGGCCGTGGTAGATCCTCTGGTTCAGTCGTGATCATCAGTGGCCGTGGAAGATCCTCTGGATCAGTCGTGATCATCAGTGGCCGTGGTAGATCCTCTGGTTCAGTCGTGATCATCAGTGGCCGTGGCAGATCCTCTGGTTCAGTCCAAGTGGCCGTGGTAGATCCTCTGGTTCAGTCCAAGTGGCCGTGGTAGATCCACTGCCGGATGAAGTCCGTGCACTCTTTCTTCTGACCCTGCCTTTGGAACGATCCGTCCGACGGCTGCACGTGAACTGACTTGCCTCATTATCGCTCCATCTCCACGGCGCTCGTCCTCGCAGACGCGTTCCATTCCTCAGATGCCAGCCCTTATTCGTCTAGATCCGTCCGTCTGAACACGGTTATGACCGGAATCATCTGAAACCCCATGTAGTCAACTGGCTGCCAAAAGATTACAGACTTCAAAGTGAACTTGGGCACGCGTCACCACCTGTGGTGGTTGATCCTCCACATTGCCATCTGGGGAGGGGGGGGGAGGGGGCGAGTCTCTCTCCAGAGGACAACGACCAGTGTTGACTTATCCCCACAAAGTGCTGGTTTCCTCATTTTATCGACCCCGAATGGATGATAGGTGTAGTTGACACCCCGCCCGGCCAGGGTTTGAACTCGCAACCCAAAAGTCACCCGAGACCGTCCGGGCCCTTAGCAGACTGTAGGGGCAGGCGCTGTTAGCGAGTAGCACCGATTAAGCCCGGCACGGCACACGAGGGGGTGGGTAGCCAACACCACGCCCGGCCGCCTTTGTCTCTCTAGTGGCGATGTTTACACATCGCACCAGGTACTCATTTGAAGCTGAGTCGACCTAGGGGAGGCCCAGGACCGGTTCAGATAATCGTCACTGATGTTGACCGTGAGCGGGAATCGAACCGGGGTCGCCAGGTTCGTAGCGCAGCGCGCTCCCGCTCCCCACACACAAAGATCCCCATTTAGCCTCAACAGACTGTAGGGGCAAGTGCTCTTACATAACATACATTACACACATATTTCA